AGGAATCAAAACCAAGCTGTGAGTCAGTATTGGGATTTTTCTGCCTCAAAACACAACTTGAATTTATATCAATATGTACTGCTTCGACCAAACCCACCCCAGGATCATCTCAAGAATGAAATGGCCAATGGCTTGAAGTAAATACCGTAGCACCAGAGGAGAGGGAAAGCTCGAAAGCTGATGAGATTTGATGTTTTGGTTTGAAAAAAATCAATGTAGAATTCAAAATTCAATTAAGAAATCTTTTCGTGGCATCTTCAGATGCCAAACCTCATCCACACCAGAACCACTCATTTAAAATATCAGTGAAAAGCTCATCTGCTTCACAATGGGGTCTAGAGAAAACTGTTCACGTTGGTGATGGGCAGGGAGATCTGTCTTCCCATCCTGGTCTAAATTCTATGTTACACTGTCTCAGTTTAGCAGCCCACGGTGTTAGATCATGGAATGGTTTGGGTTGGGAGGGACCTTAAAGCTCATCCAGTCCCACCCCCCCTGCCAGCAGCAGGGACACCTTCCACTAGACCAGGTTGCTCAAAGCCTCATCCAGCCTGGCCTTGAACACTTCCAGGGAGGAGCATCTACAACTTCCTTGGGCAACCTGTGCCAGTGTCTGACCACCCTCCCAGTGAAGAACTTCTTCCTAATATCTCATCTAAACCTCCCCTCTTTCAGCTTAAACCCATTTCCCCTTGTTTTGTCATTAACTGCCCTTAGGAAAAGTCCCTCCCCAGCTTTCTTGTAGCCCCTTCAGGTACTGGGAGGCCACTATAAGATCTCCCTGGAGCCTTCTCTTCTCATCATTGCTGTTGGCTGGGCAGCAGGGAGGCGGTAAGGGGCCTTTCCAGCACGTGGTTGACGTTTCCTACCCTACTTGGCACAGCCTGAAAGAAGATTATTGAGCTTACTTCACCATCTGGTCCGATGGCCGGAGTCTGCCCTTCCGCGTTCTCCGCCTTCTGGAAGAGGAGGAAGATGGTTGATCAGCACCAAAGGAAACGACCAAGACGCTCGTTATTCCAGCTCCCCGCCAAGCTTTGCTTTCAACTCACCTTCTTTTTCTTCTTCTTCTTCTTCTCCTTGGCCACTTGAGCAGCTTTGTGCTGCCGCACCAGCTCCGTCAGGTTGGCGACGTACTCATCCGTCTGCTGCAGCAAGTAGGCCAAGCGCTTGTCCTTCTTCTGATCGATGAGTTTGCGGTAGCCTTCCTCATCCTCAGCCTATAGAAAGGAGGATCATTAACACTCTGCTAAACGAGACGAGCCCACGGTGCCCACCCAACATGTCACAGCTCATCAGGCAGGTGCAATACGTCCTCCCAGGTCCAAAGCCCTACCATCAAACGGCGCATCCGCTCCTTCTCGATCCTCTCGTTTTCTTTCTTCTGCTCACGCTCCGTGTTGGCGTGGTAAGTGGCCACCGCCTTGGTCAGCTTCTGGATTTTACCCGTGACTGAGCGATGGTATTCCTTGAAATCTTTAGCGTGTTGGAGGATGCTGTTGAGGTATTCCTGTGGGGGAAGAGGAATGGGGGTCAGGAGTCATGTGGGGCCGACAAGAAAACTGGGGAAGGACTTTTCCTAAGGGCAGTTAATGACAAAACAAGGGGAAATGGGTTTAAGCTGAAAGAGGGGAGGTTTAGATGAGATATTAGGAAGAAGTTCTTCACTGGGAGGGTGGTCAGACAGTGTCCCAGGTTGCCCAGGGAAGCTGTGGCTGCTCCTCCCTGGAAGTGTTGAAGGCCAGGTTGGATGAGGCTTTGAGCAACCTGGTCTAGTGGAAGGTGTCCCTGCTGCTGGCAGGGGGGTTGGGACTGGATGAGCTTTAAGGTCCCTTCCAACCCAAACCAGTCTGGGATTCTATGGTTAGGTGTTCTGCTGAGTTAATACATCTAAAGTCATCAAATCAGTGAGTTTAGCTCCTCTTATATTTAATAGAATAAAATATTTTGCTTGGAAGGGATCTACAACCATTGTCTCACCCAAAAAACAACTGTCCCGTCCCAACAACGATCATCCCATCCCGACAACAATCGTTCCTAATCCCCTAAATTAAAGGAATTCCCTAAAAAAAGCCCATCCCTGCAAACTCCAGCTGCCCAATTCCTCCGACGCCCCGAAAAAGGGTACACACAGGATGTCACAGCTGACCTGGTGCTTCTGCCTGCGTTTCCTTTCTTGCTCAATCTTCTGCTGCTTCTCCAGCTTCTCGGTGATGCGAGCCTCGCGCAGGGACTGCCGCTTGCTGCGCTTGTAGGCTTTGGCGTTGAGGGCGGTTTCCAAAGCCGTGTCTCGCCTCATGCACACCACAACTTCCTGACGTAGCTTTGGGAGAGATTCAGATTAAAAAAATGGGAATTAATTTCATGGGAGATGCTGGAAAGTATCAGAATTGGGTGAGTTTTGTGTCACCTGCAGCTCCTCAATGCAATGAGATGGTAAAGCAGATGGTTTTGTTGAGAGAGAGAGTTTACCTGTCGCTGGAAATTCAGCAGCCGCAGCGCTTTCAGTTCAATGGTAGCTTTGGTTCTCAGGTCACCAGCCAGGGAGCCAGGCAGGTTTTCCAGCTCTTGGATTCTGTGAGCAATGCGAGCTTGCAGCCTGTGAAGGAAGGAGATGGGATTTTATGGCAGGCAGGGATCAATGCAATGAATTTATTTTTGTCTTTTAAGTCTTCGTTGGGGCTGTTCAGCCTGGAGAAGAGAAGGCTCCGGGGAGACCTTCTAGTGGCCTCCCAGTACCTGAAGGGGCTACAAGAAAGCTGGGGAGGGACTTTTCATAAGGGCAGTTAATGACAAGACAAGGGGAAATAGGTTTAAGCTGAAAGAGGGGAGGTTTAGATGAGATATTAGGAAGAAGTTCTTCACTGGGAGGGTGGTCAGACACTGGAACAGGTTGCCCAGAGAAGCTGTGGCTGCCCCCTCCCTGGAAGTGTTCAAGGCCAGGCTGGATGAGGCTTTGAGCAACCTGGTCTAGTGGAAGGTGTCCCTGCTGCTGGCAGGGGTGTTGGGACTGGATGAGCTTTAAGGTCCCTTCCAACCCAAACCAATCTATGAGTCTATGACTTAGAGACAGGACTTGAAGGACCACTAACAAAATTTGGTGATGACACCAAATTGGGAGGAGCTGTGGACACTCTCAAGGGCAAAGAGGCTCTGCAGAGATCTAGAGAAATTAAGAGAGCTGGGCAATCACCAACTGTATGAATTTTAATAAGGGCAAGTGCCAGATTTTGGGACACAGCAACCCTGGAGATACACACAGACTGGGGAACAAGAGGCTGGAGAGCCTCTATTGCGAGCTGGTCGAGGGAGGTGATTGTCCTGCTCTGCTCTGCACTGGGGCGGCCTCACCTCGAGTACTGGGTGCAGTTTTGGGCACCACAGGATAAAAAGGATCTAAAGGACAAGATAAAAAGGATCTGGACACCAGAGAGTGTCCAGAGGAGGCCACAAAAGAGAGAAACCAGGATGGGGAATTGTTAGGAGGACAAAGGTAGTGGTGGCACGAGGAAGGTGAAGCGTGAGGCCCCGCAGCGTGGTGCAGCCCCTACCTGTACTCCCTCTCCTGCAGGATTTCCACCGGATCGAGTCCTCGGGGTTTCTGGATGGGTGTGATCCGGTTCTGCTTCTGGTGGAGCTGCACCATAGGGGCTGGTTGGGCCGGTTGACCAGGAGATTGAGTCTGAGGTGGCATGACGGGCGACGCGGCGGGAGGCACGGCCGGTGGGGCTGGCGAGGGCCGGCCGGTGGGCTGGGGAGGAATCAGTTTCTGAGGTGTGCTAGTGGGGGCTGCAGCATTTGCCATTGGTCCTGCAGGAAAAAAAAAGGAATGTGATGTTGTCAAGAAAGTATCA